CTTTTCCGATTTAAGTGACATTCAGCCAACCAAGACATAGGTTAGAAATCAACATTCAACCTGATGGAGGTTTTGGCGACGTAGAAAACCATTAGCTCTTTGGTCGACAACCATGACCTTCCTTCTATCGTTGGTAGATAATCGCTAAGGGTCGGCCGGACTGTTTTTTGCAGGAGTGTTGTTGTTTTTCTTTATTCCATTCCTTCTTTTAATATTTCTTATACAATTTGCGATTTCTAATGTTATGATCATAGTATGCCGTGTACAAATAATGAAATGAATTTGTTTTTATACCCTCCACCGTACATAGTATGTAGAGTATATAAAGTTCGTCATTCCGTTTGTAACTCATCGAAATAATCATTTTAGACATAACAAAGTATATATATTTTTGGTCACCATAAAATTCTAAGACAATTTAGCACTTTCCGTCTGTCCATCACGCTAGAGTCAAAACGAATAAAGATAGGAAGCTAAAATTTTGCACAGGTCCACGTTTAATAAAGCCTCCATATAACTTACATCTCGATATTCGTTGTTTTGACGATTAGAGTCACATTTTCCTACAGAATTGTTGAACTTCGGTACCTAGAATTTTTAATGTGTCCTGTTAGAATGGCAGAAAAATTTTGTATCTTTTGAGATTTTAGCAAAATGTTTAACTAATTTTTTTCCAAATTTAGTATTTTAAACTCGGAATAGATGACAACCTCAATATTCAACTCCGATACATTATGGTGGGGGTTATTAAATTTTGTAATGCTTATAGCGTTTAATCATTTTGTAGATATTTTATAAAAAAATTGTACAGGTGCTAGACTCATATAACAATAAACTCTAATTTTTAATTTCATGGATTTCTCAGTCTCAATTGAAATGTAGGTATATTAATTAATTAAAATATTCATCAACGAAATGTTCATTGAAGGAAGTATATAAAATCGATCTATTTTTAAAGTCCTGGAGTAGCCCCCATCTTGAGGTGTTCTGAAAGTCCCAAAAACATTAATTCAATCAGTAGACAACAATTCAGAACTTTCACATGCTGTGGGATATAGTCAGATACCAAATTTCAGGGTCTTAAAATTGATTATATTTTCGCATTGGGGACAGTAAAACATGCCTGAGAGACCGAACACATGCTTCTTTATACCAAACTGAATAAAATTATCAAAATTCCAAGGATGCAATATTGGTCTGAAATGTAATCTTATGCAAATTACAGTCACAATTTGTAATTTTCAGCGAAGGAAGAAATGATTGTAATTTTTATATTGGTTTCTGGCGAAATATTGCGATATTTGACAAACAAACATGACATGAGCAAAAATCACACACACAGAATGATTAATGATGTGCATTTTTGGGGAAAGTAAAACAGCAATGAGACCCACTTATGCTAGGCAATATAATATTCATCAAAAAAAGAAAACAATTTGCATTTAAAATTGTTTTTCTTTTTATTTGTTGAAAGTAACATTTTATTTGTGTAACCAAAATTTGTTTATATTTTTTTATCACTAATGAAAAAATTAATATTAAAGATAAATTAAGGCAAATTTACTGCAAAAGAAAAATTATTATTGTATATTGTTATAATCTTGAAATATAACATTGTTAACTAGAGTTATTCAATATATATTGAATTTAGGTGTCCCCATTTGGATTTTAATTAATTTCTATATTCAATGGAACAATTTTCAGAAAAGCTTTTTATGTTCGTCATTCCATTATTCCTCGAAATATAAATTTTAAACCCTGCAAAGTATACAGGGTAAGATGAAAAACTGCAACCAACTTCGGACTGCTGTCATCTCCAAGCCACTCGTCCGACAACCAGCAACATCACCAGAAATGATTCGAAAAGTAAAGAAGCGACTTGATCGAAACCCGCGTTGCAGTGGCCGAAAAATGGCTCGTGAGCCGAACATATCGCAATATTCCATTCAGCAAACATCGAAAAATTAGTTCGGGGTAAAGCCATTGAAATTCCAAAAAGTGCAAGAACTTACACCGCAACAGAAAGAAAATAGACTCAAACGAGCTAAAGAGTTGCTTCGCTTGGCCGAAAGTTATGAACTGCCGAAGTTGGTTTTCTCCGATGAGAAAACATTAGTTGTCCGAGAGTCCATCTTGCGGAATTGATTAAATCCTTTTGATACCGAAACACGAATGATTACAATGATTAAAGCTTTTGTTTTGTCATTTGAGTACAAAAAACTTTGAAATCTGAAAATGTTAGGGGTTCGTTGAGTGTTTGTGTTAGGTGCTTATACCCTCCAAATTTGATCTTTCTTTTTATACCATACACCACATAGTGGTGAGGGTATTATGCCTTTGTGGATTTGTTTGTGTCATGGAGAAGGCAGCTGGATAGACCCATATTTTCTTTTGAAGATCTTCATAAAATCACTTCCTGAATCGACTTATCCATGCCAGTCTGTCCTTCAAATTTGCTATAGCTTCCATGTATATGTTTTAGGCCGTTAAGATACTGCTCTAAAATATGTCAGTCAAATTTTATTAAATTTTAGATCAGCCCAAATTGAATAGATTTTTTCATATTTAACCGAATTTTACCATTTGGTGAAACTCGATCAGATATATCTATTGCTCCCATATATATTTTTCAATACAGGATTAGATGAAAAAAATGCAACCAATTTCAGACTGCTGTCATTTCTAAGCCACTAGTCCGACAGCTATTAAAATTATTCCTATGATAGCTCATTATATTGTTTACAAGCGTACAAAAGAATTTTGGTGAGAATTTTCCAGAAAAAAAGTTATTTATGATGGAATTCAAGCGTGATAAAGTGATTTCTTTATATTTAGTTGGAAAACCACAAGCGGCTATCGTTAGAGCACTCCTGCATTTAAATGTGAAAAAATATTTTGTGTCTCGCACCATCGTTCGATACCGTGATACTGGTAGCGTACCCCAACGTCAAGGAAGTGGACGGAAGAAAAGAGCAACATCAGCAAAAATGGTTCGAAAAGCAAAGAAATGCCTTGATCGAAACCCGCTTCGCAGTGGCGGAAAAATGGCTCGTGAGCTGAACATATCGTAATATTCCATTCGGCAAATATTGAAAAAGAGCCTAGGGTAAAGCCATTGAAATTACACAAAGTGCAAGAACTTATACCACAACAGAAGGAAAATAGTGGTGAACTTCCGACTTTGGGTTTCTCCGATGAGAAAACATTCGTTGTCCAGCTTTTTGTATTCAAGCAAAATGATCGTGTTTACTTGCCAAAGAGGTCAGCTGAAAATGTGCACCTCGGTTGGCCACAGAACACAAGCGCCGGCCATGGTGATGGTGTGGGCCGCCATAAGAGCCGATGGTCGCTCTCCGCTCGTACTAAAACCTTGGGCACGCAAACATTTTGGCCGCAGATCTTGGACATTCCAACAGGACTCAGTTCGCGCCACCCAAGAATGGTTACAAAATGAAGTTTCCTGCTTCATTTCCAAAATCTCCGGATAACAATACGTTGGACTATTGTGTCTGGAGTATTTTGAAAAGCACGGTTTGAACTAAAAAATACCAAAGTGCCGATCACCTCAAGAAAACGTTTCGCCGGGAATGGCCCAAAATACGACAGAGCAACATTTGGGCAGCGTGTGACGGTTTCATTGGCCGTTTGAGGGCCATAATTCGTGCCAAAGGTGACCAATTCGAACGCATCTAAACTTATTCTAAAAATACCAGATAACTTATAGAGCTCAAAAATACGCTTGTTAAAGTTTATCGAGATCGGATAAGATTAGGATATAGCTCCCATATATATATTTATCCGATATCAAGTTCATTGTGCACCAAATAGCTTATATCAGATCAAATGGACTGAAGTTTGACTATTTCGTTTGAATTCATCCTAGAAATAAGTACTTCAAACTGGTGAAAGTCGGTTTAGATATAGCTATAGCTCCAAATATATGTTTTATCCGATTTTGTGTCAAGGTCCCTTACATTTGTAAAGTGCTTTCCACTCAATGATATTTGACACAGGGCATCAGATACTGCCCGAAAATACCTCTGCCAAAATGTTATCGAGGTCGGTTCAGATTTTTATATAATTTCGATATACATCTTCATCCGATTTTACGGCTCATGATATATTTAATATCAGCCCAAATTGAATAGATTTTTTCATATTCAACCGAATTTAACCATTTGGTGAAACTCGGTCCGGAATACCCATTGCACCAATAATTATTTTTTAATATAATCCTTATCGAAGTTATATCATGCACTATACAGCATTATTATTTGGTTCGTAGTTTTTTAACGACAGTTCTAATTACTCGTACTACACAGTAGGGTATCATATAGTCGGCTCTTCCGACTAAATGATAAAAAAATAAATAATATTTAAAAAGAGTCCGAATAGTTTTTTTAACCTTCAAAATATATAGATTTGAAACTGTAATAGAAGAATAACAATCGACATACATAGTATTGAAAATACAAACAATTTGGCATTGGTAGGTAGGTTGGATATTAAAACTTACATCGCTATCATCACTATAATTTTTGTGCTTGCATTCTTTTTCCCAGATAAAGAAGAATATTATTCGTGGTATAAGACCAATAGGGAGAGGCCAAATGAAAAACAGGTGAGTGTATTCCAATCGCACACTGATGGCGGCAGAAAATCCCAAACTCCTTCCCAACAGTGAAATTAAATTGTGTAGAGAGAATTAAATAAAACTCTCTTACAAAGAAAGTGATAAAGCTTAACATCTGATGAATATACGCTAAGCTTGAAAGGGACACAAGTCCATAGTCCATTAAATGCCGGCATATGATAGCAGTTAAACATATGACAACAAAAAAATTACAAAAAAGAGGAAGGGAATGAATAAAGAGAGACATTATTATATATATATATATATCTCAGCCCACTCTCTGTTTTCGCTTGAACTTTGAAATTAGTTTCACAGACTGAATAACAATAGCAGGAACTTCTCTTTTTCTTTGCAGAAATTTTCTGGGCGATGATGAATAGGTTGTTGTGTGTATATTATTGAAGAGTACATAAGCTATAATGTTAATGAAACTGTCTGGTGTAAGCATGCCCAAGATAATACAATTTACAACTGTAAATGTAGACCATGTAATCAAGGACATCGACATAAATGTCATGGAAAGAAATAAGAGTGAATCGAAATAGAGTCCTATTTATTTGAACAACAAAAGCGTCCTTAGTTGTGCCCAAACAAGGGTTGTGTGTTCCTTATGAACTAGTAATGTAAGAAATCCCAAAGCTTTCACCCAAATTTTGCTCTGGTGAGAAGTTAAAAGACAACATTTGAAAATAAGCCAGAGTCTTCTACTGCTATTAGACAATGGAAGGATGGTTACACTAATGTGGATTTTTAGATGTTATGTGTTTGTAGCTTGGTTAAAGAAAAATGGAAGGGTTGGAGAGAGAATGCCAGCCAATCGAGAATGTCCTGCAACAAAACACCTGCCTGAATTTTGAACTCTGAATGAAGCTTTTTCCTAACAGCTGACTTTTAGAAGCTCTCTTGATGACGAGCACCAATAACTGCACATATTTGCAGAAAACAGCTGAAATATAACTCGTAAAGGCTGTTTGTTGTAGTTTCATCGAAAAGAGGCTGTTAAAAGAAAACAAACTAATATCAGTGAATTCAGTCATTCAGTTCCGGTCGTCGGTTCAATTGGGAACATAGAAATGCATAAGCCCTTGGTGTTTTGAGACCAAATAAGTGTTTTACTTCAAACAAGGCAAAAGCAACGAATAACAAAATAACAAAACACTTGCGTTCACAACGTGCCTCCTGTTGCTACCACGTCAACAAATGAAGTTGTACAAAAGAAAACATCAAAGAAGAAATAAAAAAGACAACAGAAAATATCTATTGAATATACAACAATAAACAGATGAAAACAAAATTGTGCAAACAAGAAAATATGTTATATAAAATGGTCTTTAAATCGAAAAATGTATATAAAATTTCCATATCGCCGCGGATTTAGATTTTATAGAATTTATTGTTCTATTTTCATTATCTATTTTTTTCCGATACTTTGTGAATTTCTGTTTTTCTTTGGCTTGTTTTTATACCCTACAACACTATGTGTTGGGGGTATTATAAGTTTGATTGGGCCAGAATTTATGTAACACCTCGAAATATTGGTTTCCCATATAGGAAAGTATATATGGATCTTCCTAGCTCGCCGAGCTGAGTCGGTCTAGCTATGTATGTCCGTCCGTCCGTCTGTCCGTCTGTCCGTCTGTCCATGTTAATTTGTAATCACTCTACAGGTCGCAATTATGGCCCGATCTTCACGAAACTTAGAATGGAGGTGGGGTTAAGGTCAGAATAGAACCCTATTTCTTTTGGAGATGATCGCATAATATTTAGGGGTCGAAATGGACCAATAACTGAAAAATTTCTTGATTTTGCAGTTGCTCTACAGGTCGCAATTATGGACTAATCGACGCGGAAATTAGCATGTGGCTAGAGCTTCGGGCTGGGCAGATGCCTTCCAATTTTGATGGTCATCGGGTAATATTTAGTGGGTGAAAAAGACTATATATTTGTGTTAAATAAAAGTCAAATTTCCATTAAACCGCGAGTATTTTTAGTCCCGGCTAAATCATAAATAGACGAACAGGTCAATTCTGACCGTTACGTAGATGCCGATAGTAAATATATCGGATATATATAGCGAAATATATACAATGTGTATATACAAAGGAAAGGAATGTTAGATGGAATGATTATATCTCAAGAATGGCTGGACCGATTTTGACAAATTTTGCCAATTCAGAACGCGCTCTTGACATAAAAGTAAAAAATCTAAAAAGATCGCATAAAAATAAGTCAAAAATGATGTTAATATAGATTTTGTAGTATTTTGTGACATTTTTTAATTTTTTCATATTTTTTATCGCATGCGATCTATTTAATTTGACTTATAATATTAAGGTATACATTTTGTAATATTTTTCCACCTTACAACACAGGTTTGGGATATTATATACAGATTGCAATTATCGTCCGATCCTCACAAAAAGGGTAGGGTTAGGCTCAGATGGGCTAGGCCTATTGTTTTCAAAGATGTCCGCAATATATTTAGGGGTTAAAATAGACCAACAACTAAAATGTTCCTGATTTTGCAGCCGTTATAAAGGTCACAAATAGAAACAAATGGACACGAAATCTCGCATGAAGTCAGAGTTTAGCACAGCGGGTAGAATGAACCACTACTTTTGTCTGAAAAATACCAACATTACTTACAGGCGATAGTCGAAATACTCAAAATGTGAACTTCTGCCTTTTTTGCTGATTTCGTTGACGAATATAGCCAAATATGGTAGACAAGGAAATCATATAGATGACTCTAAATTTAGAGACACAGAGGGGCCTCTTGCTTTTGGAGATGATCGCAAAATATTTAGGGGTTTAAATGAACCAAAAACAGAAAAAAATTTCCTGAACACACAATTGAAGATATTTAAGCACAGGGAAGAATTCTGGCATTTTGGATGACCATTGGAATATATTTAGCTGTAAAATGGACCACAAAAACTCACAGCACGACGGAGTGCATAAATATTGCGAAAATGTCACAGGTCAAAATGCTAAGGGTAATATCTGGGCAGTGCTCCGTGATATAATTTCAAAAGCGAAATCTTAAAAAATGAATTTGGACATGAGGGGGCTTCTAACATATTGTAGTGTTGTAGGGTATCAAATGGTCGGCCCCGCACGACTATAGCCTTTGCTTACTTGTTTATTTATCCCGTTGATTTCAAAGCTACTCGCATTTTTGGTTTCTGCCGCTGCGTTTATTGTTGTTTTTGCTTCCCGATTTTAAGATAGGGAATCCTTTTCAAGGATACGAACGAAGAATCAAAACAAAAAAACCCTTTAAATCACACCCTCTCAACCACTGAGAGGATGGATGTGTGCCTAAGGTTATTTCATTTTTGACAATGACGAGAACAACAGCATGAAATGCTTTTGACGTTGTTTTCCCAAGCGCCATTTAAGGACATTTAGCAGAAAACGTAATTGGCAAAAAATTGAAGAATTCATTAAAACTCAAAATATTGAAAATATTTTTGATCAGCCTTATCTATACCAGCCTGTCTTAACGAAATGGGTTACAAAGCGGTTTAAAAGCGGTTTAAGCGGTTTTCCTCCAGAGCTTTAGGCTCCAATTAAATTATTCGTCTCCGACTCCTGCATTGCATTCTTTTCGTCATTAATATAAATAGTACAACTATGTCGTTTTCTTTTCTAATAAAACATAGGTAAAATTATGTTTATCGTAATACCCAACATATCCAGATTGAGTACAAACAATGAGGTAAAATGGCAAAAAACCATTAACCTGCCGATACCTTTGATTAAGGTATATGTTATTTAAGACAACAACAAGGGTATACCAGCTGTTATGAAGTATGATATAAATTATTTTATATTTTGTTTTGTTTTGTTGTCCAACATTTTTGGGACATCATCTAGACTATTTCTTACTTCCCAATTTTGGTAAATATTTATTTAAATAAAAACCGTGGGGGTACAATTATATGGAGGATACACGATATCGTGGGCCTATATAGAAAATTCTCTTCCAGGGGGAAAACTTCTCAGAAGGAACTCCTTGTGTTAATTTTCAGACAATTTCATTCAAAAATGTAGCTACACGATATCGTATATCCGCATTATACGGTACTTCCCAATATTCGGTATTTTGATGATTACCGAATATTGGGAATTACCGTAATATGGGATATATACCATATCGTGGATATATATAGAAAATTCTCTTCCAGGATTGAGTACTCAGAAGGAGCTCCTTATGCGGATTTTCAGACAATAATACCAAATATCGGAAGGTACCGTTATATGGTACGCCCAAAGTATACCCCAAAGAACTCCTGGTGTAGAATTTTAGGCATTTCCATTGAAAAACGTGACTAAAATCATCAAAATATCGAATATTAAGGGGACCGTTAGATAAGGGGCCATACGATAGTGGACCGATGTAGCTCATCTACGAACTTGACCTGCCTGCAAAAGACTGATCTGTGCAAAATTGTAGCTTTCTATCTTTATTCGTTTTAACTGTAGCGTGATTACAACAGACGAATCGTCTTAAATTTAACGCTGATCAGAATATATATACAAATAAAAGCAATGAACTGTAAATAATATCTAAGGTAATATTAAATCACATTTTTAGGAAGAATTTATTTTTTGTTTTCTATGAATTAACTAGCTGGCCCGGTCCGCGTTGCCGGCCCGTAGGTTTTGTCTATTATGCATATTTGTCAAAACATAATTATTCAAAGATATAAATGTTATAAATGTTCACGTACTGGTCGAATAGTTTTTAATTTTTAGTCAAATGAGCAGTAATTTGGAATTTACTGTACTTTGTACACCTCATAATTGAGGGCTAATTGATTTAAGAATAGCCAAAGTTAATTACTTTTTTAAACCCATTAGCACCTCAGATTGCGCATTAGAGTCCTCATAAGTCCCCCTAACCATGTCGGTCTGTTTGTCCGCCAAAAGGTGGACTTGAGGGGGTACTATTACATGGAGAAAATTCTAAAATTTGTAGATATGTTGAAATGTTTGTGTAAGATTTTCACCCCCAAATACACATTTTTAGCCAAATCCTTTGAAATATGGTAAAATGCGAAACATCGACCTACATTGGAAACTTTCTTCACCCCTTAAAATCCAAGATGACAAATAGAGGCCAAATCGAAAATATAGCAGAACAACATAGCATGTCAAACTAAAAAAAATCACGTGATTTAAATAAGTAAAAATAGTTTTATCCACCTCATAATTGAGGTCAGACTGATTTCAGAATAGTCAAATATAATTACTATTTTACACCCATTACCGTAATATGGGAACTAATTATATTTGTCATTTAAATTGTAAGTTGGAGACCCCATAAAGTCCATATTTTTCATCATAGTATAATTCAATGACGATTCAACAAATATTCGGTCCCGTACTACTTTCTTATATTTGTAACTTGTTCATGTTTTCACAATTTGTTTCATATAGATGTATATGCCAAATCTACGTTCCCAACCAATATTCTCTTGGGGGTTACAAATTCAATAGAATACAATTTTTTCTTTTCTGACCACACATTGGATGTGAAAGTGGACTTGGGGATACTCCAATGTGGGGACTTTACATGAATACATTTCTATGTGGCAATTATCTGTACGATGGTTCCTTACCCCAGGGTAGCATAAATACAATTTTTTAGTGGTCAAGACCAATATGGGCCCTATTCCGAAAATTTTATGCGAAGAGGTTCTCTACCCCCTTAGAAACAAAGATGCCAAATAAGGGCCAAAAATAGAAGAAAGTGGCGAAGACTCCAAAAATGGCTTAAATCATACGATGGTTATTTATGATCGATATCATGGCCTGAAAAGCGATTTAAGGTATCTTAAATGTTCAGGAAGAATTTTTGGAAGAATAGAAATCCTTTTCTTACTAAAAGTCCCATTCGCTCTACTATTTTGCACCCTTTATATTTGGTATTTTACTGATTGTACTCCCAAAAATTTTTGGATTTTGTGCTCTCATTGGACGGATTATTGTCACATGAAAGAAGTAGGTCCACTCTTTGAAATAAGCCCCATTAGTCTTTTTCGGTCATTTTTGTTTGTTTAAATGTCTGCGCATCTTCCAGATGAAGCACGATGTTCATTTTTTTGGTGAAAAATTATTCTTTATTTTGTTCACAAAAAATCCACTGAATTCAATATGATATTACAAATTGAAAAAAATTGACAAAAGGAGAATAACAAATTGAAAAAATCTTCAACTTGTTGGTGTAACCGCATTAAATTATTTCGGTATCATCTATTCCGTTTCGCCACCACATAATTCGGTACTACACTTCCATGTAAACCGCCATCAATTTCAGTTCTCAAGAAATCAAGTCAATTAAATAAATTGATATTTATATTCGAATTCAAAAATAAAATATAAAAAACACTACAAATGTACATTAGAAAAAAGTAAGTCAAAATGGAAAAAATCATGCAAAATAAAACATTACTATTGTACATTTCAGAAGTCAAAATGAAAATGTTAAAATATCACATTTTTACGCGATTTTTTGGATATTATCCTTTTCGGAGAGGAGACAATTCCGAATTTATATGAATCATTAAAATCAGTTCAGCGGTTCTTAAGTTATAAGTGTAGTAACTAACACTACTTTCATTTATATATATAGATGTATAGATAGATTAAAAAGAATGCGTGGTCAGTTCCTCTGCCCCCAAATAAATACTTAGGGTTGGAGGGAAGGTCAAAAGTATCTCGTGTAATAATTTTTAAACCAATATCTTGTTTATTTGGGAAATATAAGGATTTTAGATAAATCGAAATGGTGGGCGTAAAAGGAGGCGTGGTCAATATTTTTTTCTTTAAAAACCTAACTCGGGGTATGACAAACGTTTGTACAAAAAATTATGCAAATCGGTCCAGCCGTTTTCAACTGATTCCGTTACCAACAAACAACAATTGATTTTTATATATATAGAAGAAGAAGAAGATATTGTCCAAACCGTATTTATATTATTTGAATAAACCAATACGTACATATCAGAACAACTTGGTAAAGACCTGCTAATTTATTCATGTGCTTGTTATATTCACATTACTGTCATGTTGTTACTAATATTTGTGCGAGTGTGTGATTTCAATCCATGCGATGAATAAACCTCATTGCAGCTGGTTGTACTTATATGTCGTTGCTTGTGTTTTGAGGATATTTATGTGGACAAAAAATCCTCTAACTTCCTTGAAAACGTAACAATCGCAGTCATTGAGAGGCATATATGTATGCTGAGCTCAACAAACCTCAAAGACTTACAGGTCAGTGCTCTCTTAAAACGGCTCTACAGAATTGTATCTCTTTGTGATACATAAATCAACACACAAATATCATGGCTATTGATGTTACCCTTAGATTAATAAAGTAGACAGCAGCGTAATTGGACGACTAAATCCAACGATGTGCATGTAAGATTATGACGCATATATCGATGTGTCGTATTTATTATCCGATTGAGATGAAATTTTCCAAACAATATTTGTTTTGGAAATACCTTTGCCAAATTTTATCAAGATCGGTTCAGAATTGAATATAGGTCCCGTATATATCTTCAACCGATTTCGGGTTAATTGTGCACTTAATGGCCAATATCTGTCAAAAAGTCCTGCATTTTGGTACATCCGATCGAATTCACCAAATTCGACAACAATGATATTTGGTACCAGATATTTTATAAAGCTCGGGAATACTTTTGCCATTTACTATTCTTATCTATGTAAATGATATTAAACTGTAATACCAAAACAGGTAATATTTTCATAGCAAATTACTTTCGTTCCGAGAATAGATTTCCTTATTATAAGAAAATATATAGACTTGTTAAATTGCTTAACATTCTCAAAAGGGAAGAACAGACAAAGAAAGAGGCAAAAAATAAACGATGACAAATTTATTTGTAACACATTGGATGTTATGATATAAAATATCTCTAAACTAAGAAAAGGTCAAAATGGAATTACAAAAACTTTTTTTGTTTCCTTTCAGACTCACTAAACCTCTTCATATTAATGATCCTGAAATGACAGTCTAATAGTCAAAAGTCAATAAAATTAAGGGTACGCATTTTATTTTTTTTAAAAAAAGGGGATTTTATCTTAGCTTCAAGACACCAAACTATCCTTTAAATAAATCGTATGCAATTTAAAGATAAAGTGATAAATACCATTTTTTCTATCTCAGTTTCACATATTATTTTTATACCATACACCACATAGTGATAAGGATATTATGTCTTTGTACATTCGTCTGCAACAGGCAGAAGGAAGCGAGATAGACCCATAGTTACTTTTGAAGATCTTCATAGAATCATTTTCTGAGTCGATTTGACTCGAATTTTAACACATCCGACCGAATTCAGTCCAGAAAACAAGTAAGAAAAAGTTAAAAGTCAGGCGGGGCCGACAATATGATACCCTACACCACTATGCATAACAAAATAATTTATTTGAAGTAGATCATACCAACTTTCAAAATTTGTCTTCAGAGCAGTTATAGTTTGGTTTCCAAGGGAACTAATATATGGGAGGCATATCCAATTCTGAATCGATTTTCAATAAATTTGACCAAAGTTAATGTGCTTGCTTCTAGACCGAATTCGGTCGGGTGTACCAAAATTTGGTACTTTTTGACAAATATTGGCCATTTGGCGCACAATTAAATTGAAATCGGTTAAAGATATATATTGGAGCTATATCCAAATCTGAACCGACCTTGATAAAATTTGGCAGACGTATTTCTGGGCTGTATCTGATATCTGATACCAACATTATTCTTGTGAGGTGCATATTACGAATGTGGGGGATTTAAACACCAAATCGGATGTAACTTATATATGGGAGCTATAGCTATAGCTATATATGAAGCGATTTCAACCGATTGAGATTGCAATTTTGCAAACAATATTTGTTTAACCCAAGGACGAACCCTATTGAAATTGGTGATAATCGGATCAAATTTAGATATAGCTTCCATACATCTTCAACCATACATCTTGTGCACCAAATTTCCAATATAAGTCCTAATGTCCTGAATTTTGGTGCATCCCACCGAATTCAATCTAGAAGGAAGTAAATCAAATTTGGAGAGAATCGGTTCTGATATAGCTTCCATATACATGTTTCATCCCACTTTGGGGTTTTAAGTCCCCCACGTGCGTAATATGCACTCCACACGAATATTATTTGGGTCCAGACATCAGATACTGCTCGAAAATACCTCTGTCAAATTTTATCGAGTTCAGTTCGGACTAGGATATAGCTCCCATATAAATCTTTATCCTATATCAGGTTTATAGTGCATTAAATGGCTAATATCAGCCCAAACTGACTGAATTTTGGCCACTACGACTAAATTCATTCTAGAAACCAGTACTTTAAATTTGGTGTAAATCGGTTCAGATATAGCTATAGCTTTCCTTTATATGTTTCATCCGATATGGTGTTTATGTCCCTCACATTCGTAATATCCATTCGACCGGGATTATGTTCGGTATCAGATACACAGATTTCGGGTTAATTGTGCACCAGATGGACAATATAAGTTAAATGAACTGAATTTTGGCATATCCAACCGAATTTATTCTAGAAGCAAGTACATCAAACCTAGTGGAAATCGGTTCAGGTATAACTCTAGTTCCCATATATATGTTTCATTAGATTTGGTGTTTAAGTCCCTCATATTCGTAATATGCATTCGACAACAATGATATTTGGTACCAGATATCTTATATAGCTCACAAAAACCTTTGCCAAATTTTATCGAGAACGCCAAAGATTTGGACATAGCTCTCATATATATCCTTAAACCGATGTCAGGTTTATTATGCAAATATTTTGATATAGATTGATATATGATCAACATTTCCGTGCATTTGTGATTTCGCCAGTATTAAAAATATTCGCGGTTTTTGCATAAAAGTTATGGTCTATTTTACCCGCTAAATATTGTCCGATGACCAAACAGTAGGTAGGTAGGCTTCTGGTCAGCCCTAAACTGTGCCCCCGTGCTAAGACGGACACACGAAGCTAGATGGACTCAGCTCTGCGACAAATAAATAAACAAATGACAAATAAATAAACAACAGTCAGTTCTTTTATTATGGCTAAGGCATAAAACCAAAACTCAATTTGTATCTACTTTATACCGCACAAGATTGGTTTGAACAGCTGTTTTATATGGTTACGGTTATGGCACGTCTAATTGAACCTTAAGAATTGGGATCCGATATTTGCAAACGATTTAATTTAATTTTTAGTTTTTCTTATTTTGATCACCTTTACAAGTATATTCTGATAGACAGTTAACTTTTATTACATTTTCTTTTAGATTAGAACCGGCGCTGAAGCCTCATCAAGATCATACATATATTTTGGCTTTGAAAAAGGTATCGCAGATATCAGGTATATGTAACAAAAAGATTTATTAATATTCAAATTTATTATTTGTTCATCAGTGTTATTTTTTGTCTTATTTGTCTCGTTTCAGGCGTTTAAGAGCATAATACCTATACGATCCTCTAGCGGATTTGAATGGTATATTACAAAAAAATTTCCTGATCCCTTCCAGATTTATCATTGGCTCCTCAAAAATTTTTGGTCATATATTGCAAATTTAACATTCATACAACAATCAACCAATTTTGAATAATACAAAAATAAAGTTTGTTTATCTGAATCCAAATATTTTGCTTTAAATTATTTCAATATTTTGGACAATAAGTATGCAAGTACGTAAACATACAGGGTAAAATTTTTCTATTTCTTAATTTCACTTTCCTTATTTAGCAGATTATGGACCGATTTTTTACACAATCTCAATTTTAGTGACTTAGTGGTCAGACAGCACAAAATTATCTGTTTGAAGGTCGTTACTGAGCACTTACTTCGATTCTGAACAAATTTCAAAGAAAACTGATTGGTAATTTGGCATTTCGTTTGTTGAAAAAGTAAAAAAATTATCAATAATTTTGTATTTTGGAATTTCTTAACTTTTATTTGATCTTTGTGGTCACATATTTCTTTATAAGGCTTAAAAATATAGATTTTATTAAAAAATCAGCTACTGCTTTTATGGGTTTAATAATTCTCTTTCAATTTTGGTCACACCTCTACTATATACCGTCTATTCTACAATTGATCTATAAAAAACAAAACAAAATTCCACTATGACCGTTTCATAGTTACTTTCTGAAGCTGAATAAAAAAATTAAAATAATCTTGCCGACGGACACACATATTGGCTCAGAAATTGGGGCTTGGGCGAATATTTCAACGTTTTACAAACTACTAGGCCAAATCAAGCTTAGAATCATGCAATTGAATAGTTACTTTGTTCAACTCACATATATCCCGATATAACTTGCTTTTCTTTCATGTAAACTTTGACTTTTTATTGTTTTTTTATTAAATAGACTTTCTTCATCTATTGTGGCCTTTTCAGATGTAATCATCGAAATAAATCGGAGATGATAATAGAAAGCATTTGATAATGCTGTCAATTTCCGATTCTTCAATGATTTGTATCATATTTGATATTGAGTCAATGACGTTATAATATAAGTAACAGTTGAAACAGTAGCATAAATTATAAATTTGTAGCAATTTACAAATGTTTGCTTAATGTGTTCTATATATCAAGATTTCAAAATATAGGGTTACAGCTAATTTGGCTGAATACAACAGATAGGAACTTCAAAATAACTGTTAGTTTCAATGTGTGAACCGATGTTAAAATATATCGTTGTGTAATGAGAACACAAGATGCCAAACTGCCACGAATTTGTCTTAAAAATTTTGTCTGAAACCCGCAAAGCACCTTGAATGTGGAGTAACCATTATGTAGGGTTTATATTAAACTAGCTGAATCCGGCACGCTTCGCTACTCCTTTCGCTGTTATATGCATTCAAAATTTTATATATGAATATTTGTTGGTTAAAAAATATAAATAAAACAAATTCAAAAAAGTTAAAACCGTTATTATTATGACGCGTGAACATGCCAGGAACAGCTGACCATAGAAAAGCCGGAACATGCTAAATTTAGTCCGCATACACGAAGGGATTGTCCTTTGGATTTATTAATTTCATAGCAAATACCAAGCGTGTCGGAAACTGCAATCTTTTGAATTGAAAGGCATTACTGTTGAAATTAGAGAATTCGAGGTAGCAATATACTTTCCAGTAATAATCATAACTTCAATTAAATTTTTGCGTAGTTTTTATACTCTCCACCATAGTATGGAGGGGATATTAAGTTTGTCATTTCGTTTGCAACACATCGAAATATACATTTTAGACCCCACAAAGTATATGATCAGCATAAAATTCTATGTCGCTTTAGCGTCTGTGGAAATCACTCTAGCTTCCGAACGGAATAAAGTAGGTTGATAAAATTTTACTCAAATGTATACTATGTCTGCAGGACTTTTGGTATGGAAAATGGACCATGTAGGTTCACGTTTTGGTACTTTGATGATTTTAGAGACATTATTCCCCGGAATTGGTTCAAATTCGGTATTTGAAGTTCGTAATGCATACTACAGCCTATGACAGAAGATTTTCTGTGGAGGTTGAAGTCTTCGTATACATTCGGTATTTTTAAAATTTTAACACAATTTTTAACGAATTTTAGTGTTTTGAAAAGTGCCAAATTCGTTCTTAATGGTGGAGGGCATTTAAAGTTCGGCCCGGCCGAACTTACAGCTATTTTACTTGTTTACCATTGCAGAGGCGTTGTGGGTCAATGCTTCTTAATAAAATCATATTCCAATCTGAAACGATTTCAATATAATTTGACAAAATTTACATTTACACCAAATTCCGTTACACCTTCCATATTTCATTGAAATTGAAGGTACATACCGTGCTTGGGGCATAAAATATGTGAAATCGGTCGAGAATATATATGGGAGCTATATCCAAATTTTAACCGATTTCTAATTAATTTGTCAAATTTATTATTGTATCCAAATTCCACCACACATTCTGAATTTCATTGGAATAGGATATACATATGGTGTTTGGTGCACAACATTCATGAGATCGGTCGAGAATATATATGGGAGATGTACCCAAACCTTAACCGATTTCAATATAATTTGGCAAATATGTTATCGTACCAAATTTAGTCACTCATGCCGAATTTAATTGGAATCGGATATACGTATCGTGTTTGTTGCATCAAATACATGAAATCGACCGAAAATATATATATGGGAGCTATATCCAAATCTGAACCGATTTCAATATAATTTAACAAATTTATTTTTTGATCAAATCCCGTCACACATTTCAAATTTCATTGCAATTGAATATACACAGCGTGTTTAATGCATCAAATACATGAAATCGGGCGAAAATATATATGAGAGCTGCATCCAAATCTGATCCGATTTCCATATAAAATGGCAAATATATTGTCTAATCAAATCCCGTTATTTATTCCAAATTTGGAGAATGTATTTGTAATCGATCAATAGATATGTGCATATAAAAACCAAATTTTTGGGAGGTACCTCCGATTCTGATGCTATATCTCCAGATCCGAGTGGAATTTCAAAAATATATATAGCCTATGTTACTTTCAGGCCATGTTGTAGTATACTTGGAAATTTTCAGGAAAATCTGTTCAGCGGTTTTCGAGTCCATAAATTACAAACAAACAAACAAACGTACAAACATTTTCCTCTTTTATAGATATAGAGAAGAAGTGGGAATATTCTTAGTATAGAGAAATTCTACCTAATAAGATGCCAAAACTATAAAGTAAGTAAGTAAGTAAGTATATATATACACAACATAGTGGTAAGGTATTATGTCTTTGTGCATTTGATTGTAACAGGCAAAAGGGAAGGAGATAGACCCATACTTCCTTTTGATGATCTGCATAGAATCACATTCAAATCAAAATTTAATTAGTTGGTTAATCTATATCAATAAACCAGTAAGGAGAGAGTAAAATTCGGAAAAGGTCGACTATATAACACCCTCTACACTATGCGTATTTAACAGAGCTCCCGTAAGAAAAAAGTTCATATTGGGAATTTACGTTAGGTAGATCATCCCAACTATGAATAAATAATATAGCTGTATAGAACATAATATGACTTCCATAAGGATCATATTAAAAATATTGGAGCAATAGATATACCGTACCGAGTCCCACCAAATGGTAAAATTCGGTTGAATATGAAGAAATCTATTGAATTTGGGCTGTGATTATATATATGGTGGACAATAACCGTAAAATCGATGAAGATGTATATCGAAACTATATAAAAATCTGAACGGAGCTCGATAAAATTAGGCAAAGATATTTTCGATCCACATTGTGACGGTTTCATTGACCGTTTGAAAGCCATAATTCGTGCCAAAGTTGACCAATTCGAACAAATTTTAACTTATTCTAAAATTTGATTTGATTGAATAAAATTAAAAAAAAAAAAATTAAAAATTATGGCGTTTGATCATTTGCACTGACATTGACCATTTGGTACACAATTAATACGGATGCAAACACATATGGGAGCTATATATAAATGTGATCCAATTCATTCCAATTTCAATAGGGTTCGTTCTTTGGACAAACAAATATTGTTTGAAAAACTTCATTTAAATCGGATAATAAATGCAACTACTTTAATGTACTGTAAGTTGTAGTTTAGAAGTAGTTGATACACAGTAGAGACTATCATTTTGTTGTTCATTAATTACTGTTATGGTCCCAATTTTTTGTATTTTGTGAACATCCCCATTGTTTTTAAAGCAAACATTTAGTAATTGTGTGTTTTCTTTGACTTTTAAATATGTATGTAAATTTATTCTGAAATTTAAACTTATTCCAAAATTTGATGCTATTTCCGACATTTCTTGCTTTCATTCAATAAAATTTAAAAAAAAAACAGTAAAGAAAGCTCTAAGTTCGGGCGGGGCCGATTTTATGATACCCTACACCACTTTCCTCCTTAAATAGAGCTCCGCATAACAATTAAAGTTTTTATGGGAGAATTCAATCATGCACGCTATGATTATAATTATAATTTAAAGTTCAAAGGACTAAATATGCCGAAGAATTTGTATATTTTAAATTCGGAATTGTATTGCCCATTTGGTGCACAATAAATTTGAAATCGGATAAAGATATATATGGGAGCTATATCCAAATCGGAACCGATGTCGATAAAATTTGGCAAAGATATTTCTGAGCTGTATTTGATATATTTCCCTGAATATCGTTGTTACGGAGTGCATATTACGGCTGTGGGTAACAAATATAACAAATCAGATGAACAGTTTATATGGGAGCTATAGCTATATCTGAACCGATCTTCACCAAATTTGACATAATAGCCCATTTGGACAAATATTAGACGTTTGGTGCACAATCAAAGGTAAATCGGACGAAGTTATATATGGGAGCTATATCCAAATTTGAACCGATCTCGATAAAATTTTGCAACTGTATTTCTGAGCTGCCTTTTATATATTTTTCCCGAAATATTGTTGTTACAGAGTGCATATTACGGCTGCGGAGGACAAAAATAACAAATCGGATGAACAATATATATAGGAGCTATAGCTATATCTGAACCGATTTCGATCAAATTTGGCATACTTATTTTCAGGTTCAATCTGATCGTACGTGCAAAATTCCATACTATTC